TTTTTTAAACACTAGGTATACTCATTGTCGGTAGGGTCAAACTATTCATCATCATAGTAGTCGCAACAGATTCGCCACGAATTCTTTCCCTCGTATAGCGCCGTCATTTTAAAGCTCATGAAAAGGAGTCCCGCAACCAATAATATCGTCACATTCCAGACGACTTTTTTTTTATCATTTGGCTCCACCCCTCATCGAGAAATGAAGCGTATTTTTTTCCCAACATTTTTTCCTCCCCGACCGTCGACGCGGCGATTCCGGCGCGGCTGCCAATGAATACCGAGGGCCGAGGGTGGGGCGCTTAAAAAATGCGTTTTAAATTGATCTTGAGGGGTGAGAGCGGCACAAAAAACCGCCCATCCCCGTTTTTTTCGCCCGGTCCTACCCTCCGACCGCACAACGGCGACATTTTTTTCCCGTCCGTGTAATAACACGGCACGCGCGAAAAAGATTACGCGCCCGTTTAGTCATCGTGCACGGAGCATTGTTGTCTAACGGACATTTAAAATCGTCTTTTTCACGTTTAAATGCAGGCTACCCTCCACATTGTGACAACACGGATGAAAAAACGTGTTGCCTCGTTTATGTCACGTTAATTTGGTTTAGTGTCACCTAGCTCCATGATTATGAGTATTGTTTGTCTTGAGTAGGAAAAAAAAAGAAAAAAAGGAAAAAAAACGCAATGATTGAGACGCAGCCGGAAGTCCGGCTGTTTAATTAATTTTAAAAAAAAATCTATTGTTTTTTTGTCCTTCTTTATTTATCGACACTTTTACACCTTTTTGGAGCAATTGATTTTTTGCGTGACTGACATTCCTTTAGAAATATTTCACACCAAGTAACCACCGTCAATTCGAAGACCAAAATAATGGACTACATTTTGCAATCAGAAACTACACTATCTTGCTCATCCAGAAAAACACTTATGTGCATCAGGAAACTTATTGAACGTACGATGTTTCTAAACTGAGTTAGAAATTGTAGTCACAAATTGCAGAATGTGGCCCATCCTGTACCAGACCACCAGACAGGGTTAATAAGTAAGCACTGCGACACATGTTACTTACCCAAAATCTCGAGTACAGCACTAAGGAAGGCTACCAGTTCAGCAGGAATAATATATTGTTTTCATACATTTGTCCATTAAAAGATACTTCAAGAGATGTTAGTAAAACCAAATAAACTCTTGCCGAGTCTAGTTAGGTAACCTTTCAGTAACCGATATGACTTGAGCAGATTTCGAGCCGAGCGACTCAATTCGATACATATCGATACTTCTGCGACATGGGTCCGATACAGTCTGCTTGCCCGACCTCGTGACCAGTGGCGTGGCGTGAATCGCGATATATCGATTGTTATGCCATTTAAACCTATGGAAAAGGATCGATAAACAGGGTGTTCACAGCAAACACCTGAATTTTCGATTCTTTACCATAGGTTTAAATGGCATAACAATCGATACATCGCAATTCACGCCACTGCTCGCGACACTCTACCCGAACGACGGCGTGAATAGTGGAAGAAAAAGGTCCGCTGCGCTTAATAAAAATCGCACATCGCAAAGGCGGGACCCTATGCAGATGCGTCGTTTTCGCCGAGGACGGCACGGGTGGGGAAACTGAGGTAATTAAAACCAAGCGACGCAACGTGGGAGAGAGAACATGAGCAACCACACCAACGACGGAGAGGTGAGGGGACACTCTAATTAAAAACATTGTACCCTGTAAAAGTGCAACATTGCAGGCTTACTAATCAGAGGAGTGCGCTGGATTGCCGGATCAGAACGGCGTTATTCAATGCAATATGTGTTGGTACAGAAAAACAATAATTATTGTAATGGCACAACTCACCATTTGAAGCTCAGTATTGAATTGGTATAGCCTTTGAAAATTGGTGAGAAAACGTTACAGGAGTTTTAAACACTACACTTGTCGTTAATTTGGTAAAATTTAAACATTTTTAAAAAAATTTAGAGTTTAAATTTTTAAATTTTTTTTTTAAATTTTACCAATTTGAAAATTGGACTACAGTTTGTAATAAGGAACCACTATTTTGGCTCATTTTAGAAGTAACATATTATATGTCATTGATTTCTCCATGCAGAAAAGTGTTCAATGATATTGGAATATCATTTCCAGTCATTCGTTCATGAGTAGGTATGCAATAAGGGTTCTTGGATGTTGAAATAATGCTACAAAGGCTCTCGCTGAGCATAACCTATACTATTCATATGTGAAGTGAGAACTCACGTCGACAAAAGGCGCCTTCATTTTCCTAAGGTATGCAACATGGCTTCTCACGTGTTAAACTAACGAAATCCAGGCGTCGCTTTTCACGCAGTCATTCGTGTATTATTGGGAATGGTTATGACCATTAGGATACACTTTTTTTCGCTCAAATATTGTGCAAAAATGCATTGCATATAAAACAGAAGAGGTGGTTCAACCGAGGAAATATTTATACATTGTCGATTTTCCGTCCTCGAAACAACGGGAGTCCACTGTGTGATTAGCGGCAGCGCGGCGCGACGCGCATGGCGATACCTGACAGAGGAATTAAGTCTGTGGGCAAAGGGCCAGAAAATGTTACTAATGCGAGCAAGGTGACGCTGTGAATGTTCCCCAGACGCGCTCTGATAACTGATACGAGCAGCTTGACCACAAGACAATACGGGTGTATCGGCTTTGCGAGCGCCTGTGATGCCTGCAACCAGCAACGCTCGTTAACGATTCCGAAAATTTACGAGATTCGCCTCCGAACGACTGATGCTCAATGCCGATGTGGCTCATTCATCTTCAAATTTTTCAAACGCAAAGAAAATCTATCTAAGTTTTAATGTGGAACTCAAACCACGCAAGCAAAACAACAACCAACACTACGTCATGCAATTCCACTAAACAGAAAGACCACAGCTCCTAATGCCCGGTTTCCTATCTTCCTTTCCAATTAAAATTCTACACTTTTACCCTACATTCAGATTGGAGTTTAAAGAGAGTTCTTCCCTCAAAGTTTCGTTATTCCTTAACCTGACTTTAATCACTTTTTCATTTCCATACTTGATGTCAGAATCGCCAAAGAGGTTAAGGTGCCTGCCAAAATAAAGTCAGCGTGCCACTACCATTAATACCTCTTACCTGAGCGACCCATCTCTCTTTCTATCTTTTTTCTGCCAATGTTTGGAACGTTTTGTCGCTTTTCTGGCGTAAGATAAATGACTTAGGCAATTTTGGACATGATTTATCACAAATTAATCTATATGAAAAAACTCCCTTCAAAAACTCGATTTTTATCCGTAAAAAATCCAAATCTGATCGAGGATATCTAAAAAACCCGTTACGATCTAGGGTCCGACTATGGACTAAATCCTAAACTTTAGAGATTTGAGTATTTTAAATAGACGTTATCTTTTGGGAAGTTTCTGAGGTAATTGGCAGCGGTAAGTACGTGTTACGCTTGAGAGATGGAAAAACCTCTGCTTGGGATATGAATTTTGTCCCCAGGGGCTCCTTTTTTTCATATAAGGAATGGAGGAAAGCTCTAGGCATTAAAGAATGGACGAATGAAGAGAAATTTGAGAAGGTAGGTAATTGTATGAGCACTAACCGGGTTGTGGAATTGGAGGTATTGGTTTCGGTAAGCCAGGCATGGAGGGAGGTAGCCCTTGCGTGCATCCTAAAACCGATAATAGTGGTTACCAAAATTGTATATGTTTTTTTTTTTTGACATTCAGATACATATTCCATGGTCATCTCAATATGCAAAAATGCACGAAAGGAAAAAATTGTTAAGTTCTAAGAGGAAACATACCAGTTCGAGCTGGATTGAAAGTATCTGTAACCTCTACGAAAGATATGTCTACACGCTATTTTATGCGTCAGCTTTTCGAAATGGTTTCGTTCTTCTATTTCTTCATTTTTATTTAGAAGGAAACAAAGTGTTTCATTTTTACGTAGACACTTCTTTCCCAATGCTTCGCAATAACCGCTCATTGCGTCAATATGAACGAATCGAAAAGGTATCATTCTTCTCTTAAAAATTAGAAAGGTATCATTTCACAGTAAAATTGAAACTCGTAGTGCTTAAAGTATCCTCTTATTTTAGTAAAGAAAACAAGCGGCTTGACAGTGAAAAGATTTTACTTGTCTTCGTAGTTTTGTAATTGATAGATGGTTGGAGTGGGTGCTGTGTTGTGGAGAGGATGTGAGGATAAGTTGTAACGAAGGGTATAAATACATCCGTTTAGTGACAAGATCATTTTCATTATATCGTTCTGTATACCATAGTTTATAGTTTTTTTCAAAAGCCATTACTGACGATAGCCTTCAAAAAGAAAGAAAAGGCTCGTTGATTCTATCAAAAGAGCAATTACTGTCCCTTTGCAACTTACGGTAAGTACAAAACAATTGGGTAGGATTTGAAAAATTGGAATTCGGGGGTAGAATTTTTAAATTGTAGGTACTATACTTACGTGAATTACCTCAAAGATTACCTCAACCCAATTAGGATGAATATTTATTCTTTTTAATTGAAATTTTTGGACTTTCAGATTTTGCGAATGATATTCCCATGGCTCTCCGGAAAATATGCGCCAGCTCTTCGGAAAATTCGTCTTTTTTTTAAAAAAGCGAATTCAGTGACGTTCGGAAGCTCATACAGCCGTGCTAAGGAAGAACGCCGCATGAGCAACCGAGAGTTGCCAAATTTCCTCCGGTAAAATGTTAATTTTTCAGGAATGTTATCGCAATTTTCCTTTGAAATTTTTAGATACTATAGATTAAATTGTGAATGAAATCCTGTACAAAATCGGGAGAAAAATATCCATAAGTATCCCAGGAATTTCGTATTTCATCGAAAAAAAAATTGGCAACGCCTGAGGGCTCATACGACCTTTTTCCTCAGCACGGCGGCATACGGTGCTCTTCCTTAGGACGTGAGATCAGGTAGCCGACGGAATCCGGGACCCTATCTCCTCGTGTCACCGCGCTCAGACGGGATTATTCCTTTTTTTATAATTTAATTACCACTTTAAACATCTTGTTTGCCCTTTTAATATCGCTCCCCCGCCCGCCCCCGTTTTTTCCGCGTTCCGCGTCCCCGTTACGGTCCACTCCCGGCCCGTTTCCCGTTCCCCGTTCCGCGGCGAAATGAAAATTCATTTAAATAAAAAATACGTTTATGATTTACTTTTTTTAATTATGAGTCGGGAATGGTTTTCATGAGATTCTTTGCGCGGCGGTGGCGTGGCGGCGGCGACGACGTCTGGGCCGTAATTACGCGCTCGGTTCCTTCAAGATTTATGCCCCGCTTTTATCTGAAATCCGTTTTTCTGTTAATGTCTTGGCCTCCACGTCCGCGACCGCAGCCGTGAGGAGCCGTATCGTTTTCGTTTTTCGCCGATCCCGGGAACTTTTGTCAACCGCTT